TTTTAGCTTAAGACTCCTGCCCTATCACTCCTTCCCGGCTAGGCTCTGTAACCCTTGCCCAGATCACCCACACGCTGATACCATCCCAGTCCCTTGCCCCCCCCCCGCCTACCACACTCCAGTTTCCCGCAGTTGTTCATCCAGCCCTTTTGTACCTTGTTGCCTCAGCCTCCATGACCCTTCTCTTGATCATCCTCTCACCCAACAGGACTCAGTCCTCTGCCCTTGGCTGTCTACTTCAGTCTCCCAATCTTGTTCACCCAATGCCTCTGCCTCTTTCTTCACTGTCTTGTTTTGTGTCACTTTCTCATTAACTTTATGTCCAGCTGTGATGGATATCCCCAGAGGCTTCCCTGATCGTTCCTGATGTTGAGGCCAGATTTAATGTGGTTAGTGCCATTACCTTGACCATGGCTTTGCTGAGCTCTGAGGGAGTGGTTGAAGGAACTTTGGGAAACACTGGCAGGTCCTGTCCACTTTGGACTGTCCTGTATGACTATGAAGCCACTGGTGAAGATGAGCTGAGTTTGCGAAGAGGAGAAGTAGTTGAAGTTCTCTCAAAAGATGCAGCAGTCTCTGGAGATGATGGCTGGTGGACAGGCAAAATCCACCACCAACTCGGTATCTTCCCAGCCAACTATGTGACTTATCAGCCAGGTCGCTATCAACATTGCCAGTTGGCTTTGTTGGACAAGTCTGGACATCAGGCCGAAAGCCTGACGATGAATGATGGGCCTACAGTAGGTGGCGGAGACCAGGTGGATTCAGTAGCAGAGATTGATTTCCAGCATCTGGAGCTGCAAGAGATCATTGGGGTTGGGGGTTTTGGTAAAGTTTACAGAGCTATATGGAAGGGTGAGGAAGTAGCAGTGAAAGCTGCTCGACAGGATCCAGATGAAGACATCATGGCCACTGCAGAGAGTGTGAGACAGGAGGCAAAGTTGTTTTCCATGTTGAAACATCCCAACATCATTGAACTTCATGGCGTGAGCTTGAAGGAGCCTAACCTCTGCTTAGTGATGGAATTTGCAAGAGGAGGACCCCTCAACAGAGCCCTGTCAGGCGCTTCCTCCACCAGTAGTGGGAGTCACTGGGGCCGTCGCATCCCTCCTCACATACTAGTCAACTGGGCAGTGCAGATAGCTCGTGGAATGCTTTATTTACACGAAGAAGCCATAGTTTCCATCCTTCACAGAGACCTCAAATCAAGCAACAGTAAGTACTTAGAACAGTTTCCAAAACCAAAATGAAATGTTACATTCCTTCCAGGATTAAGTCCTGTCATAATTAACAGCACTGTAAGAAATGTTATTTATAAATATGGAGTGCATTCAGGAAAATCGCCATTGCTATCTATTTGGATATTGTGATAAGCCAGGAAAAGCCATTGTTGTCAATTTGGATGTCATGATAAAAACATGGTTTAAAATATGGTTAATAAATCAACAGCAAACAATGGGTTCAGGTAGTGGTGAGTGACTGTTTAATTAAACCATGACTTGAAAGCTGAGGCAGGTCTGTATGACAGATTTCAGTAAACTACAGAATGGCTTATTGTAAAATGTGAACATTATAAGTTTTTATAAATGTTCTTAAATATTTTGCATAAGGCTAGGATTTGGCAAAGTCACATCGGAGGTTGAATTTCTTGTGGCTAGTTGCATAAAAGCAACAAGTGTCAAAAGCAAAGCTAACAAGCAAGACTGCTTGTGTTGGGATTTGAATTCCAGTACTTTTTGTTTTAATTTCCTTTACCATTCTGAATAGGCTTTTCAGTTATATTATGTTACATTGTAAGAATTATGAGATAATCCAGTTCGGTTTCTTGAAGCCTCTTTTCTGTGATTGCAATATTGCTTCTGCATCCTTAACCATTTTGATGCTTAGATGTGTTGCATTCTTAGAAGACCTGAGCAGCTTTCCTGTAATTCTTCGTCAAATACAGTTTCATGTGTTGAAACTCTTGATTTTTTTTTAAACTGCTAAATCCATTAACAATATGAAGAATTAAGATTTAGACTAGGGTTGTTTTTTAATGCTGTGCCTGATTTGTAGTCGTTTGGTCATGTGAAGTAGAAACATTAGTGCCAGCCTTGGATACTCTTTATTAAGATGACCAATGCTATTATAAATAGAAAAGAAAGGAAATAAAGGCTTAAATCAAACATCACACTAATGTCAGTGTCCATTAATGCAACAGGCTTTTTCCTTCTTCTCTCAGCACTGCTACAGGCCTCTGCACTTCCCCCCAAATCCTGCTCTGGAGAGTTCACCAGACCTTCAGGAGCAGGATTTGATGCATCACTTTGAGGGTTTAATGCACCACTTTCTCCCAGTTCAGCTGGCAGAAGCATTCCTTTCAGTGGAATGACCTCTTTTTGGAGCCCAGCATAACCAGTGTAATTTCTAGAGGTGTGTGGGGGGGGTATCCTTGTTGTTGTAAATGCTGGAAAACTGCCCTCCAAGGCAGCAAGAGAAAGGTTTGTGGGTTGTTGTTTTTTAACCACAAAGCCTGGTTACTTAGTTGCAGCAATATTTCCTAGTTGATTATATAGTGTCTGTAGCCACTATATGATTATAAGTGAGAAGGGGTTTCCAAGTAACCTCCTTTATAGAAACTATTGGTGAAGGTTGTAATTTCTTTCGTTTTGGAATCTTTTTATTACAACTGTTATTTACTGATACTGTGGTTCTGCCTCTCCATGCTGTTACCTTCTGGTGTGATCCTGGGAAGAGATATCCTGGGTAAAAAAAATAGCAGCACATCAGTTGCTTGGGGCAGGCTGTGTTTGTATGTGTGTGGGGGCAATATAGTGTATGAGTCACAGCTTCAAGACTTTTGCCCTTAAGACAGAGGCTTAAATGGCAAGTCCCTGTCCTTTGTATGTAGGTGTGGTTTCCTTAGAGATTGAGTTATTTTGGGGAAATTGATGGGTTCAAGATACCTTGTTGCTGTATTTATATAGTGGCTTTATAAAAGTTTAGGGACGTGGTGGCGCTGCGGGCTAAACAGCTGAAGCCTGTGCTGCTGGGTCAGAAAGACCAAGCAGTCGTAAGATCGAATCCACGTGACGGAGTGAGCTCCCACTGCTTGTCCCAGCTCCCGCCAACCTAGTGGTTCGAAAGCATGCAAATGTGAGTAGATAAATAGGGACCACTTCGGTGGGAAGGTAACAGCATTCTGTGTCTAAGTTGCACTGGCCATGTGACCACGAAGATTGTCTTCGGACAAAATGCTGGCTCTATGGCTTGGAAACGGGGATGAGCACCGCCCCCTAGAGTCGAACACGACTGGACAAAAATTTGTCAAGGGGAACCTTTACCTTTTGCCTTTATAAAAGTTCACTTAAGTTGTTCAGTAAAGCCAGACTTTCTCAGCCTAGAAGGTGTCCCCACATTTAAAAAAACAGGAGAGTTTCAAACGAGCAAATCTAAATCTTCACTTTAAAGAAAAACAAGACTGTCGTCTAAGCTGCATTGCCCCCGAAAAGTAAGGGGATCAAACCAGAGCTCAGTATGTGCACATTTATGTGTCTCTTCTTGTACCTCAACAGCATGTGAAGAGGAGCTAGTGGAGGGGAGAATGCTTCATGATTGCTTTTTCATTCCTCGTCCTTTAGCAGGGTTCTAGCCATTGTGTTCAATGGGCTTACTACTAGTAAAGCGCAGGTTCTTTTCTCTTTAGGGACTCAAAGAATAGAGTTCACTTTTCGTATTGACTTGGTTAGAAATTAAAGTGCATTAAAGTACCTGAGCTGTTGTCCAAATGTCCTTATTTTGGGGATTTTAACCGTAACATTTTCCTTTAAATCAAACATTTTATTTTCCTATTTTGGGAATCATATTTCAGAAAGGGTGTTGTTTCCCCCTGCTCTCTTGCTTAGATGATGCTACCCTATTTACTTTATTACGGTGGCAATCTACAGTCAAGCTGTTTCATTTTAAGGTCACTGGTTTTACTAACATTTAGTAGCAAATTCATTTAGCAAATATAGCAACCATACATTTAGCATCCATTTTTCACAGTGCAGTAGTGAACCCCATGGCTGAACCTAATTTGTCACATCATAAGTTACACACATTTTGGAATCTAACAATGTAGGCCTTTTCTACAACTGACTGAAAACTTACATGATGGGGAAGGCAGCCTGTGAGATCTGCCATTCTGTCTATTCATGGCTGCTTTCCCACATTACTCTTTATGGAGTTTAGTACAAAGCAAAAGTGTTAAAGACTGACATATACAAAATTTCACAGGGATTTTGCACAATGATTTTCTGTTGTTACTCCTCAGTTCAACAGTAGAGATTGCCAGCTTCAGGTATTAGAATACTTGTGCATAGCATGCAAAATTTTTGTCTGTCAGTCTGTTCTTCATCTGGAAATGCTTGATTTTTATAGACATTAAGTGCTAAGCAGGAGAAAATAACTGAGTAAAGAAAGGGAAATATAAAATGAAGTTCTGGGAACCAAGAGGGATCAGACCAGAAACAACTATTCTGTATTTATAGATCCAGACTTAGCAATGCATAGAGTAGACCTAAAATCAATGGGATATATTAGTAACTACTAAATTAAGTCTCATGTATTTAAATGTTCTACTCAACATACAGTATGTCTAAATCTGAATCCAACCCCTTATGTATGGCTTGCCCATCAAAGATTTGTTTGTATCTTCTTTGCTGTTGTATCTTTGCTATCAGAAGGGAGAAATAATTAATTGCATGTCTTACTAATTATTCTTCAGACACTTCAACATCAGACACAAGGACTTCTATGGAAGAACTTTCCTTACACTATTTGAAACCTCTTTGAAAAGCAATGGGGGAAATTTTATCTCAATTTTAGGAGAATAAATAATAATAATCATATGTTGTCAAGTCAGTTCTGACTGAGGGGGGCACTTTTCAAGGTTTTCTGGATAGAGAATACTCAATAGTGGTTTCCCATTCCATTCTCCTGGGGCCGGTGGTGCAGCTTGCCCAAGGCCACACAGGCTGGCTGTACTTTCAAGAGGCACAATGGGGAATCAGACTCAACTGGTGGCTCCATAGCCAGGTATCTAAACCACTGAGCTATCCCACCAGCTTTTTTTTTAAAATTGGCATTTTAGTCACTTGACATTACATATAATGTACTATCACATGGTCACATACGGATACGTTTAATTTGGGAGAGGGGGACATGGGGACTGTGTTTTAGTGTTGTTTAAACCCAGCTCTGACATAAAAGTATTAAGAGGAGAAAGAGAGGGGAAATGGAGCAAGGAGCATATATAAAGAGAATAAGTCTGTGCTGCACTATGCACATTTACCATTTTCCTACTTTTCCATGGAAAAATGCACCTTCTTAGACATGCACACAAATCCATATGCATAGGCATGCAATGTGCAGGTTTTCCTTTTACTTGCTTGGTCTATACATACAACATCAGAGTAAATTGAGTTACTAAAAATGGAAAAGAGAGAAACACTTCTGTGCTGATCTCTTTGTGGTTTTATATAGTGCAGTTCTTTGCTATGCCCCATGAATGGAAATGAAAGGTATCCAAATGTAAAATCTGACTGAAACTACTGAGATCTGGGAAACATGAAAGAGACCACAAGAGAAGTGGTAGATTCCTCTGAGTACGTACATAGCATTATTGGATTGACTTGTCAGCAAAAATCGGGCACAGAAAAAAAGTATATAAAATGTGTTTGCAGAGGCAAATTCTCCCATTGTAAGCTGAAACAGTTAATTGTAATCATGTGCCCTCAAGTCAATCCTGACTTATGGTGACTCTCTTTAGAGTTTTCCAGGTAGAGAAGACTCAGAAGTGGTTTCCCATTCCTTTCTTCTGGGGCCACCCTGGGACTTGCCCAAGGTCACAAAGGCTGGTTCTTCTCCCTGGAGGCACAGTGGGGAATCAAACTTACTAGCCTCTGGCAGTGCTTTAGATGCCCAAACCACTGAGCAAATAAAATAAATAACATCCCAACCTTTGATTTCAGTTCAACTCTCTGCCATGCCAGAATGCTCAACATTTGATATCGAGGGTTTGTGCAACATACGTAAGTGTACCCCTCATACTCCACTCCTTCATTGTGTTTGCATTTTAGCTATCACACAATAACTTTTTAAAGTGGGTTTCAACAGTAATGAATGTCATTTCCCTTACACACATAGCTGGTTAGAATAGCCTTGCTGTTTGGAGGATAGTTTGGCTTTGCTGC